CGGGGGGTCTGCTTCTCCCTCTGACCCTCCCCCCTCTCATGTGCTCTCTCTCATTCTCTCTCAAATAAATAAATAAAATCTTTAAAAAAAAAAAAAAAAAGCTCTGATACACTCACTACAGCCACTAGCTTACTTCTAGGGTTTCCACACTGACTCCCAAAGAGGAGATCTCAGTTTGGTGTGAGATGTTCAGCGTGAGAATTTCGGAAACCAATCTTCCCTCCATGCTCAATGGAGCCATGCCACCTCAGCACAGGGACGGAAAACCTGGGGCCACCCGTATCCCCCCTTCCGAAGGGAGAAGCTGGTACACATTCGAAGACTCGTTTCTCCCACGTTTAAACCTCTCCGAAACTGGAACGACAACATACACTTGCCGCCAGCCAAGGGGCAGCTGTGCCGTGGCTGTGTAAAAACCTCCCATGGATCCTTCTCGTAAGGTCCCGAACACTCCAGCAACAAGGCTTACGTTCAATACAGCACAGGAGTAAGGATTCCACTCAGCACAGGTCAGCCAAACTGTACGGATCACGTGGGAAGGGTACTCCTCACGCTATGTAAATTAAGTTCGGAGAAAAGAACTACTTCATCAAAGAAATCAAAGTTTTGGGTACATTCACTGTTTTCTTTCTTCCTACAGAAGTAAAATCCCAGTTGGCAAACTCCGGAGGAAGAGACACTGCTCACAAACGGGCTTGTGAGCACACTCATTTTTGTGAGTTAATACTTTCATTGCCCTCATGTGAAAACACTCCTAAAAATTTATCCACTGCTCAAAGTAGTTTTCCACGTGACAGCTGAAGATGCTCCGGCTCTGGGGTCACAATGCTCCGATTTTGAACAGCCGGGCTCGAACATCTGTGAAAGACGAACCTCTTCCTCCCGCTGTTTCAGTAAAAGGACCAAACGAGGTGATCCGTGCACAAGGCCCACTGCTGGGAGCATTAATGCTCTTCCTTCCTGCACCCGCTAAGAGCCTTCATGGTTACTCTGAGAGTTAAGTCATCTTCAAGTGGCTATTACAATTTAATGGAAATTTCTGTGCCCAATGGACACCGAGGTCACTTACCAACTCATGAGCACAAACAGTGCTACAGTGAACGGCTATAGGCACATAGCTTTCTCCAGGCTTATTTCCCAGAGTAAAACTGTTGGATTGATGAAAGAAAGGAAAGGGATACTGTTATTTCCTGCCTCTTTATATGTGTGTTAGCTTGCCTTTTAAAAAAGTCTGGCCTTCGGCAAATCCCGTCCTTGGAGGAAATCCAGCTGATGGGGTCCAGCTCCAAGCCCACAAAGGTATGGAACGCAGCTTCCTCCAGGCTTCTTTCCATAATTTACAAAGTCCTTATCTTAAGCGCATCAGATTTATGTGAAATTTTTATCCACTTGGTGTTTCTGATATTTCTTTTCAATATTCAATTCAATTCAATTTATTTAATTTTCAGGTTTTATCTTCCTTTTTCAAACAGCGGCTCCTAAGAGATGGGGCAGCGGGTTCAGACGTCAGAGCAGCTTGGACCTCTCTTCTCCAGGGCCCTGCCAGGCGCCCCCCGTGCCTCAGGGCAGACCCGAGGGCCACCCACCATGCAGGCAACCACCATGAGCACCAACCGGTCGACTGACCCCAGAAAAATGCAGAACTCGGTGAGGAGGTTTCTGAAGCACAAACCACCATCTGAAAGCCAGTCCTGTCACTGTGGTTACTTTTTCCACGTCAACATTAGAGAAGTGAACAAGCCGGGCTGTTCAACCCCGTTCCTCAAGTCACATTTTAGAGAGCAGCTAGGCAATTTTCCAAGGACCTTCTGGATTTTTAAGGGAGTCTAAAACACCTGCTATTCAAGGGAGTCCTCTGTAAATACCAGGCTGTTTCTAGGACACCTTTACTACAAGGATTTAAAGCCAGCACTCAGCCGGCTGCTGCTTGCAGTCTGGCCTCTCCCAACACCATTCCCTTTATCATAAACACTAAGGGCTTGGATCCTGAATTTCAGAACATGGACCTCCGTGTCTTCCAACATCCTCTGTTTACTAGGGTCTAAGTAGAAGCCAGAGCCTCCTACAAGAGGGAGCCTATTTACTCCTGGACCCCGTAAGAGTTTCATGTCTCTGGGCACAGAGAAGACATTTAAAAAAGCCTCCTGATCTTCATCACACATACACGGAGAGCAGGCCAGATGCCCTCAAAGCCAGCTAGCCCAGCTAAGGAGGCTACCGTCCTGGCACCAGCCCCCAACCCGTCAGCAAGCCCAGCTGAAGCCTGGTGCTCCAACACCCTGAGCGGTCTCTCCCGTGAAACTCGGCCCACCTCTGCAAACTAGCTCACTTGAAAAAAGTTTCCCAACATTATGATCTCTGTCTTCCAGGTCCGGCTCCCACCCCCAGGTCCTTATTTCCAACCCAAGGGCTGATGCCCACCTGAATACAACTCTTTTACCAATGAAAAATATCATCCTGCACAACTGGCTAACCCCTCAACTGCTTGCTGTTTCCCTCCAAGGGTCTAGAAGGAAAGGAAGACTGTATGTCCTTCTTCCCGGTGAGACAGTTCTGCTGTACCTCAGTCTCTAGACGCACTAGAATAGTCCAGGTCAAGCAGAGACGAGCACGGGGCCCAGTTCCCATTCCCATCTGGTAGCTGTGGCTCCTTAGGCAATTTTGTGGGCTTATCTGAGCCTTGGTTTCCCCATAACCTACCTCACCTTGTTCCCCTGGAGATGAAAAAGCAATGGGGTACATACAATATCTCAGTACTGGGTCTGACCCATAGGAGCCACTCAAGAAAAGTCCCTTTTCCTTCAGGCAAACTAACGACTGCAGACGTATTCAACCCTGTCACAGGTGACCAGTAAGTGATCAGCGGTTAACAGAGCACAGCACAGCCCACGGCCGATTACCATGCTGCTGCGAGAACGGGCTAGGCCCTGTTGAGGGTGCAGAAGTAGAGGGCTGCAACTGAAAACTTGTTCGAGTGTGGGAACAGATGTGACTATGCTTCCGCAGAGGGTCCAGCCCTGCCCGCGGGGGCCCAGCGGCCCACGTCCCTATTCCTCCATTCAGACAAGAACACAAAGCGGGCTCTTCAGCTTTCACAAGGGAATGTAATCTTTGCCAGCTTCACGCCCCACACTTTGCATGTGTAGCCCTGGATCTTCTTCCAACTCAGAATGAAGGATCACCACCACCTGTGAGGTACTGACTGGCATCTAATACCGATGATGTTCCCTACAGCTCCTTCAAGAAAATGGAGAGCCTATGTGATAGGTTAACTGTGCATTTTTAAAGATTCTTCTAGCCGCATCCCGGCATCATCAAATCAGACCACTGGCAACGGACCATTCTGCTGCAGCTCCCCGCCTCTCTGCAGATTTACCTTGAAGAGGCTCTCAATGCCATGCCTCGTGCGGGCTGACGTACAAAAGCTTGTGTCAAACTTTTTTCTTCATAGAGAGCTCAGCCTCCCTCTTACCTTTCAACAGCCTCTGCTTAATGAGCTCGTGAAAAGCGCTTCAGGCTTAAGGAGAAAAACGTTGTCTCCAAATTAAGCTGTTTGTTTTTCATTAGAACCAAAGTGCTATAACCACCAAGTTTTGGTCTTTGTTGTGGAGGCCAAGCAACTTCTCCACAACTTTGGGTTCGCATGCGAATTCCTTCACGTAACCCCAACCTTCCCCTTTTCCCTCCAACCTGCTCCCACCTTGTGTCAAAGTTGTGGTTCTCGCTATCCTAAGTGCACCCTCATGTACTCCTATGTCCTACTTGCAGCTTTACTCTGTGAGCTCATTATTAGTCTTGGAGACATAACAACTTTTACAACAATGCTGGGATCGCTGAAGTTCCGCTAAAACGGACACCTGCCCCAAGTATCTAGTTCTTAGGAACAGGAACACCCTGAGTCTTTTATGTGAAATGTTGATGGCTTCCTTGTGCAAGTATTTTGAAATCTTAGATGAAGGAAGAATGTAACACGGAAACACAAATTCTCCCAAGGGGGAAAGGGAAGGGCAGGGGGAATCAAGTATGATTTTCAGGAAAACAGGATTCTCCTAATTCATCAACCTGCCATTTCCTACATTTTGTGCCTTGAGAACCTCACGAAGTTTGGAGATTATACTAACTTTCTTAACTGGGTCTTACCCGTAACCGATAATCATCCACAGTCCAGATTCGACTTGCAAAATCATTTGAAGCTGCTAGGAGGTAAGATCCCTATGGGAATAAGGGAGAGTGGGGGGTGGGGGAGAGACAAATTTTAGACAAAACAGAGGATTTCAGTCCACACAATACAAATTCCCTAAGAGCTAAGTCCAGAAAGGTTTACTGGATGCTCAAAAGCTGCATACCTGATGTGAATACCAACTGTTACCCCAGTATTCTGTCAACCCACCAACTGCGGTAAATCCACACTTTGCTCCTGAACTTGCTCAATCCTGCCATCCTGCTGGAATGTTGCAGACTCTCCAGCCCAAACTGGAACTTGTCCTCTTGAGTTCATAAGCCACCCCTTCCACCCCCTTCAGCAATGGCAAATACCAATTCTGTACACACTGTCCAAGCTGCAGAGCCCAGAGGCACCGGCCTCTCTCCTCCCGCAACCTCCCCCAACTACTCTCCCTGAGATCTGCCCGTCTCTCATGCACCTAGATAGACCCCCTCCCCTCCCCCTGCACCGCCGGGGCTTCAGCCGGGGCCTTTAGCAAGTCTGCAGAAGCACTGACTGGCCGGGGAACCGCAGACCTGCCTTCCCCACCCAGACTTCAATACGGTCACAGCCAGCACAGAATTTATAATCTACCTGCATCCTGACCTAACACTGATTGCACTTAAGATTGAGAACAGCAGGGAAATCGTCTGAGTAATTTTTAAATTTCAGGAACTGGATGTCTTAAATGGTTTCTAAGCAAGCACGCTCATTTCCACAGACACGGGATACTCACAGCGCTGTCAAATTCGATGCTCGTAATTCCCGCATTACTGCCAGACAGGGAGCCCTTGAACTCACATTTATCTGGATAGAAAGAGAGAGGAGAGAAAGGAAAGTAAGGCCAACACCGACGTTACAACGGGGCACCTGAAACACAGTGGCAGCTAATTAGAGGCTACAAAGAGCAGCCGTCCTGCACTGAGGCAGCATCTCAGAGCAGCAGGGCAAACACAGCAGTGAGACAAGAGTAGACAGCTGGTCAGCTGGAGGGGCCATGCATGTGTAAGCCGACGCAGGGCCCAGCACTGCGCAGGCACTGTGTTGTTCTTTTCAAGAACTTTAGAATCACCAATTCGCTTTACAAAGAATTAAGTGCAGGAATTTTAAAGACATGTCAATCTGTCTAGAGACCTTTAGTTCTGCAATTTCTCAGTAATTCAGATAAATACACCTTTGCGTTTGATCACTATTTGTATCGATTTAACAATCACTTCTGTAGAACCTGACTACTAAATTTTTTCAGAATCTACGTGTTAATTCTCATTAGGGTCTGAAAAGAAATTTTTTTTTAGTTATGTGTAACTGGCTAGTCCTTAAAATGCCAGTAAAGCTAGTCTGGAGTTTCTGGAATTTGTACACTTCCCATCTCCAAGAACCAAAGATTCTGGCAATCCAACTGGCTGCTAGCACTCTCCTCCCCACAACCGCCCTCACCAACAGACCCAGCAGAGGCTCCTGGGTCCTGCGCTCAGATATCTCTGGCCACCCATGCGGGAACTTTAATGATGTAGGCACAAACTGACAAGAGTACAAGTCTCAAAATGATGTGATTAAGCCCCTTTTTAAAAGGTACCTTAAGGATGACAAGATCAGAAAACAATTAGGGAATCATTCACATCAAATTCATAAAAGGGGATGGGGCGCCTGGGTGTCTGTTGGCTGAGTGTCCGACTCTTGATTTCGCTCAGGTCATGATCTCTGGGTCTTGAGATCAAGCCCCACATCAGGCGCCGTGCTCAGAGCAGAGTCTGCTGGAGATTCTCTCTTCCTCTCTTTAAAATAAATAAGTCTTTAAAAAAAAAAAAAAAGATTTTATTTGACAGAGAGAGAGAGAGAGCACAAGCAAGGGGAGTGGCAGACAGAGGGAGAGGGAGAAGCAGGCTTCCTGCGAGCAGGGAGCCCGATGCAGGGCTCAATCATGGGATCATAACCTGAGCCAAAGGCAGACACACTTGACTGAGCCACCCAGGCCACCCCCCTCTATAAAATAAATAAATCTTAAAAAAGAAGTTCATAAAAGGAGAGCACAAAATTGGAAACATTTCAGAGAACAGCCTTTTCTCTTAATACTTCTAACTGGTAATAATTATGCTATGAATACTGGTTTGGAACTGTCAAATACATTTAGGGTCAGGATTATTAAACTGGTTGATGAAGCCCACCCTCTGAATTTATTTGCAAAATACCTGTATAGCACATTTAATGCCTCTTCTTGGATCCTAGCTTTCATTAGATTTTCAAAAGTCAGAAAAGGCCAATATCCACTAAATCAGGTCTTTATTTAGATTAGATCTTTATAAAAATATTGCTGTAAATTCTAAGAAATATCGCTTTGGCTTATGCCCAAGATATCACTCTATTTCTCTGGCAGTTAACACATTGCCAAAATGTAAAAAATGACCAACAAATACTATTCTACATAAGAGGTTGATTTCAAACCATCAAAAAAAAAAAATCCTTTCCAAAGTTCTTTACCTAGAGGGCACCAAGGGAAGGTATGTCAACATCCCAATGGAGCTTCTGCAAAAAAAATTTTTTTTTTAAAGATTTTATTTGACAGTGAGAGACACAGCGAGAGAGAAAACACAAGCAGGGGGAGTGGGAGAGGGAAGAAGCAGGCTTCCCGAGGAGCAGGGAGCCCAATGCAGGGCTCGATCCCAGGACCCCAGGATCATGACCTGAGCCGAAGGCAGACGCTTAACGACTGAGCCACCCAGGCACCCTGCTTCTGCAAAATTTTGATAGAGCAAGGACAGATGCTCCTACTGGGCAGAAAATGCCATTCTTCTGATACTTTAAAAGGGTAAAAAATAGGACCCCCAAACTATTTCAAAAAAGGCCTTTTGTACTTAGTCTCTTCCAAGATTCAGTAAATATTAGCCAAGGAGAAAAAACCTGCCGACTGAATAAGTGATTTGCAGAAGAAATGCCCTATAATTAGGCCATAACTGATATTTGGCCCTCAAAACTATATAAAGTGCTGCCAAACAGTCTATGTTATTTCTGTAGACCCAGTAGAAAGTTCTCATTTTATTGACACAGATTATGCCAATATTAATTTCCATTTACTTCCTTTTCACAGCAGCAAAAACCTAACACTGTTACTAAAGATTGGTTCTAATTTTCTTTTTTTTTTTTTTTT